AAAGCGAAACAATCACGGGAAGTACAAACATTTTTAAAAAAAGAGAAGAGAGAAAGTTGTAAAGAAAACTTACATGCAAAATTTTACTTTTCAGGGAATGACATATTTTCTTCACTTACTAACTCTATCGTAGGAGCAGCAACAAATAGGGCATACCAGCCACGATCTTTATCGTCCTTGATGCTGACTAAAACCCTCTTACTCCTCGCCACCAAAGTAAAGATCTCATGACGGAACAACTTAGGGGAGTAGAGGTGGATTAGATGAAAAAAGGTGAAAGGCATTTGAGCCAAATTATCCAGGTACCTTAAACATGTAACAACCCTCCATACAATAGGGCCAATTTATCCTAAACATACATTGAAAAAGTGACAGAATTTGATAATAACTGGATCAATAGGGGGTCTAAAATCCAACATAAAGGGGTACGTATACACAAAAGAAAAGCCAGCTTTGAAGGAAGTGATCCTTTGATTTGCATTAGGATCAGAATTGGGAAATCAAACCTCCAATGACAATCTCTACGAACAACAGAGATCAAACCTTCAGTAATCTATGAAGGATAAACATCGGCACGATCATGAGAGGATATAGAATAAACCTGATTTCTAATTGATCCTCTATCAGTACAAAAAGAAAGTTCAGAAGGGATAATTTCATCTACTATAGGTTCACGGACTGGCTCATTGGAATCCCTAATTCTGGCAGAAGACCTATGTGTAAGAGAAGCCCTAGTTCTAGAAAATGAAGGAGGAGTGGAACTAGGTAGAGAAAAAGAAGAACCTCGGATGGAAACTGATCCTAGACTACGTAGCCTACCCTCTCTCCTGCTCCTAGTAGGAGCAAGGGGAAGTTCATATACGATAAGAACTTTTTGAGGATCAGGGTTTAAAAAGACATAGTTGTACGAAGAGGAAAAGAAGATTTAATAGTCAAGGATGGAAAACTTTTCTATGAAAGAAGAGACAAAGGATATATTTATACTCAGAAGCAACCGTCAAACAAAAAGGTAATGATGGGAACGTCGTAATAAAAACTGTCACTTTGTGATTGATGTAGTCGTAAGACGCTGAAGGGTTGCAGAACCAATCAAAAGTCGCCACGTGTCACATGCATTAAATGGAAGTGACATACGAAGCGTCAATTCCGGAGAAGGTATAATAATATGTGGAATGGCGGTAAAAATTCCCGCTTTAATGAGATCCACTTCCCAAATATTCGATTGTTGAATAAATGACAAGTAGGGGGAGGGACTATCTGTATTGGGAAAAATCGAGTTAACATTTGGAATTAATTGTGTGCTGACATGTCAAGACACGCGAGTCATTAAAAGAATGACATCTAGCAAAGAGTATTCAAAGAGACGCGAGCCTTAATAGGTACGAGCAAAGGTTCAAGAAAATAAGAAGGAACGGTTACTCGGATCTCTTGATAACTTGAAGAGACAACGGATGAATGAACCTAGTTAGCAAAAAGTACAGATACGTATTATCTGTAATTAATGAGCATCAATGATGGGAAACGTTATAGAATCTTCACGAAACAGTTACGATTATCAATTATAACGTTACATTAATGCCATTAATTAATCATAATGACTCTATTATGAGAGGAAAGAAACGTAGTACTTAGAAATAGTTATAAAAGGAGAGAAATAATATTTGTTTGAGGGACACGGATTGTTATTGGAATATACTGATTTACATTGATTTATTTTGCTTACTCAGCTACTTCTCTTATTCTTTTTTATTATATAATTATTTTTTATTATATAATTATTTTTTTATTTGATTATTAGTAACCCGAATTCTTCTAAAATTAAGCTTTGACCGAAATTACTATTTTCTGGTCAAACAATATTCTCTTCTTACCTTCCAACAAAGATATTTTCCACTTAGATGGGGTTAAAAGCATTCAATTCGATTCAATTTGTCGCGATCTATATTTGGACTTTGGTTTCTCTATATAATTAGTGATTCAACAACAACAACAATCCAGTATAATTTCACTAGTGGAGTCTGGGGAGGATAGTGTCTACGCAGACCTTACCCCTACCATAGGTAGAGAGGCTGTTTCTAAATAGACCTTCGGCATCCTTCCCACCAAGAACTCCCACCTTCCTCTTGGGGTGACTCGAACTCACAACCTCTTAATTGAAAGTGGGGTTGCTTATCGCAAAATTCAGCAATCTTAATTTATGTCCCACCTCATAAGTGGAGATGGGACTGGTCCTTTATAGTTTATCTCTTGTCACTCTCATCCCTGATTTCCTATAAACATTATAAAGTTCTAAGCACTCTTAAATTAAAATTAGAATCCTTAGAGATCTCAAAATCAATGTAAATGTATTCTAGGATTTATTAGTTAAAATGTAATTAGTAATTAATTTTCTGATAACTAGTACTTTACTCCAGCTTAGTCGTTGCATATTGAGTACTACCACTATAGGCTATCACGAAACAGAAATTACGCTGCTTTAAGAGAACCAAGAATTCTCATAATCAATACTCTCTTTCATTTCTTGTTACCTTTTGTAAATCTAATAGTGATATACAAGGTAGGGTAAGGGTGTCAATGGATATGTAAAACCCGATTAAATCGTCGAATTGATTTTTAGGTTTCTTTTAATAAAATCTTAGGTTTTATATAAATTTATAATTGTACCGATAATTAGGATAGGTTTTAAATTTTATAAAAATAAACACAGAAAATAACGAATCGTGCCAAATAAATTTATATTTGATAAATACATTTACATATTAAGTTTAAAAAAATAAATCATTACATTTTTCCTTGGGCCTTGAAATTATGAAAATTACAAGTCAGCAAGTAATTAAATTCAAAATCCTAATTCTTAAACCTATTATGTTATTCGTATTGAGACTAAATTATTTTCAGCATATTCACTAGCAAGAAATAGGGTATTCTAGTGATTATGTGTAGCAAACTACAATGTATTGAATATGTTTATTTTCATATATTTAATCTTCTATATGCTTTATTCTTTAGTCCCATTTTGGTTAATATCTTCATACTAGATCTATACTCTTTCATGTTTGCTAAAGTCCTATAAAAGTCATGTACGTATGTTATGCATTCTGCTTCTACTAGTGACTTTTACATGATATTTATAAAATATAACAAAAATTAACTGAACCGTACCAATTCGAAAAGTCTAATTTTGGTTATACATAATAGAATAATCAAAAAATTAGTATGGTACAAATTTTATAAAATAATCAGCGGAACCAAACCGTTGACACCCCTAAGGTAGGGGTCCTCCTAAAAACCCCAACCTTTTTAGTTTACGTATATTTTGAATGCAACTAATAGATGACGAATCCAAGGGCTATTTTCTTAGCATTTATCATCTCAAGAGACAAAGATGCTTAAGTCCTGTGTCAAACACTTGCTAGCTTAGGCAAAGGGACAACAAGTTTTCCTTAAGTTGGTATTGCTTTGTTGTGAATCAAACATGTCAAGTCCTTCCACAACAACTTGTCCTCACGTGGAAGATTGGGGTGAGAAATGAATAGATATCATTTATGTGATACTGTCCAACAAGGAGGTCCCATGCAGACGCGGAGCCAGGATTTGATGTGCGTATGACTTCGGATTTAACCCGTTTGAGTTACTCTTATGCCTCTGGTTCTGAAGACATATATCAGGTCACGGTTGATTCTGGATAGACATATTTGAATGTTCTTTGCTACAACAACAAACATTTCAACGTATACTGCACTCAATTGTAAGTGTTTATGTATGGTCTCATGAAAGGAGTCAGGTGGGCACCAATAATCAATTCCAGAAGTTGATTTACCTAGACCTGTATCAGAAATAATTTCGTTGTATTTCTTGTTTCCATGTGATCCTTATTAATTGATATTTCAGATATTGATATACAAAATCTGAAAACTGCAAGTCCGGACTTAGATATGGAAATGGAATGTCCAAATAACTAAATAGAGACAGTTCATAATCTGTTGAACCATTCAAACATTTTGTAAATAGATTATTTCTCTTCATGATTGAGATAGAAAAAGATGCACGTTGGAGCAACGAAGAAACGCGTTTCTACAGGTTAGGAACCAGTTTCTCCCTCTCCTTCCCCCGAGCGAGCCTAGGCAGGAGCTAGCCTTCTGGCACTAAGGTCCACCTAATGATTGAGATAGAAGTCCTAGTCTCTAGCTAGGCCGGCTCTTCTGGTTTCTGAGAAGCAAAATTCATGGTTCTAACTATCCCTGTGTTAGTTGTAATGACAGGATGGCATTTTCTTTGAATTAGCCGGTCTGTCACATGTTACTGTATTGGTCCATCATCAGGCAAGAAAAGGGCCACCTTTGAATTCTGCTTGCTCATTAGCATACATAGATTATCAAATGAAAATGACAGTTTTACTTTTGAGCAACAGTGAGTTTAGTTCATCATTTGATGTTTATGATGTCAATAGAAAACAGGAGACAACATGCTGTTGAAGAGGTTGCAACATGTCGGCAAGGTCCTGTTGATTGTGCACGAACAAAATATGAATCCAAGGGTAAAGTAAGAAAGGGTTTAGCGTGTGGAAACACGAACTCTTCGGGGAACCAGTAACGTGTAAACCATGTCATGATGTCAAACCACAGCACAATAGCAGCAGTTGCAGTTAAACACTTGAGTTGGCATGACCTTGGTTTTTCTTTTGATAGCATCTGCTTCTTGTAGTGAAATGCAGTACAACGGAATTAATGCATTTCAAATGTTATTTACCAATCATTGCACACCGGGACAACAATCTTTTAAGATGAAAAAAGGGTTGTCGGTGCACAAAACATCCCGCGTTCACATAGGGTTTGGGGAAGGGCCGCACCCCAAGGGGGTGTGATGTAGGCAGTCTATCCTGATGCAAGCATCAGTGGCTGATTCCACGACTCGAAATTGTGGCATGGAGACAACTTGACCGTTGCTCCAAGGCTCCTCTTCCAATTTTTTTAAGATGGATTTCAATATTAAAGCCAGTACAATTTTGTGGAATTAGAATTTCAGTTTTCAATTTTCAAATTCAGGTCTCATACTTTTTTGACACTTAGAAGCAGAAACATTTAACAGAGACGTTTCCTGTTGATCTAATCTTATTTGATTTCTCTTTCACAATAGATTCTTCATATTTTCGTTTCTCTTCTGCTTGTGTTCTTGCTCCTTTAGCAATATGATCAATCCTAGCTAGTTTATTTTTGTAATGCTGCAAGTTCCTTTTCATAGCAAGCTCCAATTGATTCTGCAATTTTCCAACAACAGTCATTATAAGCTTTAACACCATTTTGCACTATTAACATCTCAAAAACTAACCTTTCTTCTTTCCATTTGTTGTTTTGCTATCATCTTCTTTTCATTCTCCCAAGCAAGAAGTGCAGAAAGCAGTTCATCATGTCTGAAATTAGAGAAATTTCTTTACAATAAGATATCACTAGATTACAATATATATTGCAACAAAAGATTAAAAATGTATATTATATGTGAATTTAAAATCATCAACCTCAATAACATTTAAAAAAAAGACATGCAACAAAAGTGTACCGCTTCCTTATTTTCGCGGTCTGAGCTTTCTCCCAAGCATCAGCTTTGTTTTCAGCCTTTCTGCTTCCTCTTGAAATTCCATTTTGAATTTTATCATTAGCAGGAGTTATGGTTGTCATTTCTACTAAAGTATTACGATTCGGCATGGATGGCCTTATCATTGGAGCTTCAAATCAAACATGGTGAGCAATTTTTTGTCAAGGAAAAATGAGTTTAAGTTCTATGCATTAAAAGTTGTAAAAGTATTTACACGTAAATATCAATGATAAGCATTAACCGGAAAGCTAGTAAAAATTATAACTATCTGATATAAAATATTTAATTATACTGATGATGTAACTGTCAGTTCTATATAACTAAAATCAAGGGAAAATTATCGTTTGAGGGTGCGAACAAAGTCTCACATCGGTAGCTGAAAAGATTGGGAGCTTACATAAGGTGTAAAGATCTCTTAATAGTGTGATGCCTTCTGGGGAAAACGTGTGGGCTTAGCCCAAAATAGACAAAATTACATCATGTTAAGAGTATCTTTGGGCTGGTTTAATCCAACAACTATGTATGCAGGGCGGAGATTTACCTGCTTCTGCAGGTCGAACGGGTCCTCTTGTTTTTGTCTGATATTGAGAGCCAGCATTTTCTTCAAGGGAATATATAGCAAATGCAGAAGCTGCAATTGCTGCTGCAATTTCTCCATCACCCAAATCATAATAGTTTTTTCTCATTTATCTAGCTGGTGCCTGTTCTGGTGTTTTGCTAACAATAATAAGGCTATTAAAACTTTCTGAATTCCCCCTTATATTCAATAGCCTGGATCAAAACCTTGTATATGTGTTTTCTTGGCTTAAAAAGTTGTTATGAAAATACAAGAAATTACAGTTGAAAAATAATTAAAATGAAGAAAAATAAATAAATATTCGTTAGGCTGAGGCGCGAATATCTTACTTTCTTTAAGTATATTCAAGCTCAATGTGGTAGAATCTTCAAACATCCAGTAGTAATATTTTTGACTTGTCCCCTTTCAGGACACAACAACCCAATAATGTCGAATGACTCGAATAAACTCTTGGAATAGTTGTTGAGTCCAAAGAAAAGTCAGCCTTGATGTCAATTGTACCAGCTACAGATTAGAAACAATTGATTGAAAAATCTTGAAAATCAAGAACCAAACAGGACTAATAAGCCTTCAATTTGTTTCTATTTTTGAGATAGGACTGTTAACATTGTTTACTTAAACCAGATGTTTCATTTGCTGTTTTCAATATTGTCACTACCTCAAATTCATGTAGACCTTTTCTAACCAGAAACTGCTAATTTCAAAGCAAATACTAACATTTGATTTTCTGTTGAAACAAACTCTTGTATAACCAGCTTTAGTATTTAGTTCATGAACAGAAAACAGGACTATATATATAATGTGCAGAATCTTTGCAACTATGTTTGGAATAGTTTCTTGCAAAAGCAATGGACTTTTTCATCTTATTTTCCTATCAATCTTTTCTCAAGGCATATCCCATGTGGCCAAAATGAGAGAGAGAAGCAAAAAATGAAAAGGCAAGCTTTAACCAAATTGACAAACCTTTTCTTTCAACTTGACTTCTTGAAGTGTAAGATCAAAGTAAGTCTTGCAGGAAAGGTATGTCTCTTGTTTCTGTTGCATGTCATGCTGGAAAGGTATCTGTTTAGAGTTTGTGCAGTCAGCCCAAGCGACCCAATGGATAGGTATTTGGGCCTTTTACTGGACCCAGACCCTAAAGTCCTATTCTTGCCACTTTTAAGTCTGCTATTCAAAATATATCCATAATTTACAATGTATTTAAAGATTTAGCCAATTTACCTAAATTTTAGGATAAAATATCCTGAATTGCTAATTTGAATTTCAGGATTAAGTGTTTCAAATTTCTGAACTGCTAATTTAAAATTTTGGACATAAAATTCGAATTTTTGGATACAGTTTTTGAACTTTAGGACACGATATCCTGAAGTTTGAATAAATTGCTAATCATTAAGTACATTGTAATATGGGTATATTTAAAATAATATTTCGTGGCCCAACCCATTTAATAATAAAGGAAATGCATGTTCACAAGTCAAAAACTATCAGGGATTTTACACATTTGGGTCGACTGAAAATGATTATATTTGCTAAATGTATAATACATGGAGTATATATTAATATACAAAATATATAATTACCGGTTGTTATTTTAGTTAGCGACTATACAATGTAAATTTTCCAAAATAGTACTCATTCCATTTCCACTACTAGAAATTCGAAAAAAAACAACCAAAATTGGTCTGTCATGAAAAGCGACCAAAGTTGGTCGCTAAATTGGAGAAAATAATTAAATAATTATGCTAAATACATTAGCGACCAAGGTTGGTCGCTTTTTGGTCGATAATGTGGTCAAAATGTTGACCGGACGGGTCAGACTTGCTTGGTCAAAGAAATACTGAAATTAGCGACTAACTTTGGTCGCTAATCTAGGAACCAGTTATAAAATTTTAATAATAATATTATTATTTAAAAAAATTATAAAATATAAATAAATATAAATTAAAATTAGCGACCAAAGTTGGTCGCTTACGAAAGGGGAAGCAGATAGAGATCAACTTTGGTCGCTAATCTGAGACCCAGTTATAAAATTTTAATAATTATATTATTATTTAAAAAAATTATAAAATATAAATAAATATAATTCAAAATTAGCGACCAACGAAAGGGGAAGCAGATAGAGACCGACTTTGGTCGCTAATCTGGGACCCAGTTCTAACGTTTAACAATTATATTATTATTTTAAATATTATATAAAATATAAATAAATCAGATTTAAATTTAGCGACCAACTTTGGTCGCTAATTTTAATTTCTGGATAATTAGCGACCAAAGTTGGTCTCTTTTCAGGTTAACATTGGTCAAAATTAAAAATCACTTTTGTATTTACTATCTAAATAATATAAATGTAATCCTTTAACACTTTTGTAATACAAGGGATGAATACACTAAAATATATTCTAACATGCTATATGTGTGGTTAAAGTAGTACAACGAAGCGTGTTATATATATATATATATATATGTATATGTAAATTGATTCATCGACTTATAACCTACTCAGATGCATCGTTGAATATTAAAAACAAAACGTCTCGACTTGTATCAATTAATCTGTTATAATTGATTCATCGACTTATAACATAGTGATGAATGAATGTAATTCATTAACTCTGTTACAATACAAATAATGAATACAATATCATGTACTATAACATGCTATATATGTAGTTAAAGTAGCACGAAGTTTGTGCGTGTTATATATATACACACACTAACATATACTATAACAAGTTATATATATGTTAAAGTATTACAGTGAAGTGTGTGTGTATATGTGTGTGTGTCTATATATATATATAAGAACATGAAGCGCTCGGAACACAGTCCGAGGAGGTGCATTATGATCAATATGACAGGATCATCATATTCCCTGAGGGTGATGGGTAAGAGTTATTTGTTATTTTTACGTTTATTGTTTTGTACAGTTTTTACTAAGATATTAATGTATTTTTTTAATTAAATTGCATGTTCATCCCGAGTAATATTACTACGAGGATAATCACCAACGCCACCAGAAAGCTTTATGATGGCCCTTATGCGACTTGGAGTGAATTTTCACTCTCGCTGAAGGAGCAAATTTTCAATCAATTTAAGGTATAAATGTTCTTTTAAGCAGTATAATTATTTATATTTATGATATTTCCATATAATATTTAACTTTTGAAATACAGAGCAAGTGTGTATGGGAACACCGCTATACGCGAAAGTGACTGCAAATTTTCATCTCAAAGCTCGCAAGCGGTTGTTGCATAGTTTCTCCAAAGCTAGAAAGTTGAACCAGAAGCCTGACCGGTTGCTTCAGAATTTATGGGAGGATTTGCAAAGGCAGTAGCTTACCGCAAAGTTCTTAGAGAAGAGCAAAAAAGGAAAGAAAGTCCGTGCATCTGAGAAGGGAGGATCCTTGCACACTGGAGGTGCGATCAGCCTAGGGACAATAAAAAGAAGAATGGTACGTAATTGCTTAATTTATTTTAATTTTCAAAGTATATCTATTCTGTTTATTATCTAAATTTTATGAGTTTTCAGGAAAAGAAGTTGGGGCATCCGATGAACCAAGATGAGTTATTCAAGGAGACTCATATTGTAAAGAAGAAGAAAGAGACGGATCAAGAAAGGCGGGTTCGAGGGCCGAGCCTCGACTGTACATGTAAGTTTTCACTTTTCATTAAGTATTTTGATTTACTTTAATATAAATTTTGAAATACTAATTCAATGTAATTTTTCTTATAGGGTCGCTTCACAGCTGAAGTGGAGGAATTCATATGCAGTCAGCCACCTAATGAGTCGGGCGAGCCAACCAACCTTCGGACGAGGATGCTGAAAGAATAAAGATGGAGGCCGCTGACGGTCCAAAATAGGGGAAGGTATAGGGGCTTCCTACTAAGAAATTCCATCGCAATAAGTGTGGAATTCAAGGAATAGGGACTTCCTCGCAAGGCGAGCAACTTGATGGGGAGAGCCTCTCCGCTATGCGGGAGACTATGACAAAGCTCACATCCGAGCTAGAAGCAGCCAAGGAAAGAGAAAAGCTTAGAGATGCTCAGTACATTGGCATGTAAGCTCAGTGCCAGGGCATGCAAGAGCAACTCAAATATCTCCTAGCTTCTGGAGGTTTTCCGATTCCCCGGTCTCGTGAGTCATCGCCAAAGGCTCGACTTCACCGTGCTCATTCCTCCCGTCCTCCCCGTGCTCGTTCCTCCCATCCTCCGCATGATTGTTCTTCCCATCCTCGACAAGTAGACCCTTCTGTATACCGTCTTGGTGATGAAAGTTCATCAATGATGATAATGATGTACAAAACAGTCCTTGACTTTTATACACTTTGAACTAGACAAATAGAACCAGTTTTCGAATGAGCTTGTAATAAGAGTTAACTTAGTTTGGTTAGCTTAATGTGTTAGTTCTATTGAACTTTATACTTTGTTGGTTTTAATGTTTTTGTTAATGTTGTTGTTAATGTTGTTGTTGTGTTGTTGTTGTTGTTGTTGTTGTTGTTGTTGTTGTTGTGTTGCTGTTGGTTTTGTTGTTGGTATTGTTGTTGTTGTTGCTTGTAATAGGGAATTTGGTATGCTGGCAGGTGATAGCTACCAAAACAGGCAGTTTCCGCCAAAATTATACCTAAAAATATTTTCTGGGCAATAACGACCAATATTGATCGCTAATTAACCCAGATTTCTTAAAAAGCGACCAACTTTGGTCGCTATCTATTAAAAAAATAATTTCTGGAAAATGGCGACCAATTTTGGTCGCTTATGTTTAAAAAATAATTAAATTCTTGCAATTAGCGACCAGTTTTGGTCGCTTATGTTTAAAAAAAATAAAAAAGCGACCAACTTTGGTCGCTATTTTCTAGATTTTAAAATATAATATTTGGTTTGCAGACCAAAGGTGGTCGCTATATTTTGATTAACAGTAAATAAAAAACGTAATTTAAATATAGAGACCAACTTTGGTCGCTAAATTTATATTATTAAAATATTAAAGCGACCAAAGTTGGTCGGTATATTGTTTTATCCGGAATATTTGGTCCTTTTACCTTAGAGACCAAAGTTGGTCGCTAATTAGTGACCAAGCCAGTTTGGACGGCTTTTGGTCTCTTTTTGACATGTAAGCGACCAACTTTGGTCGCTTTTTGCGGTTGCTTTTTTCCGAATTTCTAGTAGTGTCCCATGTCAATGCATTTAATTGTAGTAAATGTATAAGTTAGAATAATTAGGTGGTGAGAACTAAATTCTAAACTCAAGACATATTATCCCGATTCAAATTTGTGAGTTAATAAAGTGAGAAAAATTAATGTAAAAATTGCATGGGGCGCTCTATTTGGTCGCCCCCATTTAACTTATACCCATTTTCTTAAAAGTTCTAACTTGTACCTACTTTTTAAACAATTTCAGCCCTCTTTCTCCTCCTCCCTCTTCTCCTTCGTTTTCTTCTTCTTCTTCTTCTTCTTCTTCTTCTTCTTCTTCTTCTTCTTCTTCTAAACAACTTCGTTTTCTATTAGTAAAAAGGGTGGGCTGTGTTATTAAACGGAACAATTCTGTTTTCCTCAATTCTGGTTGAAATTTTGTCAAGAAAAGAATGCAGTATCTTTTAATGTCCTTGTTAAGATAGGTCTTGTGGTTATATTATGGTTGACGGTGACACTAATTAAGCTCTGTGTATTGTAAAATTAATGCAATTTGATTTGCTCCATTTTTTTTTTCCTGTAGATTTAATGGTAATAGTTGGAAGCTCGACTGTTTTAACATTGAAGTGTTAAAACATTTGCCTGTTATTTTTTTAAGACCCTTTTCTTGTCTATTAACCTATGTTCTCCCTCAAATCTTGCAGACTGGAAACTAATTGCCATGATGAAATCTGTTCGGCTTTGTTTCCTATTTTTCATGTGTGAGACAAGAGCAAATCAGAAATTCGTCAGTTGCAAAACAAAAACTTCAGCTCTAGAGCTGAAGTTCGCCAATTATAAAAATAAAAACTTGCTACTCCAGTCCCGTCTACTATAATGCTGAAGTTTTGCGTGATTACCTTTGCTACTTCAGCCCCGTATGCTAAAGTTACGCGAAAAGTGGGTACGCTTGCAATTTTTTTGTAAAGCGGGCACAAGTTAAAATGTGACCCAAAAAACGGGTATAGATGCAAATGCCCCAAAATTAAACTAGATATGAGTAGAATCCAATCTTTGGTTTGGGCTATGAACTAAGGTAAATTTCCCGTGTTTTAAGCACAAAAGTCCAATAGGGTTATTCGAGATTACATTACACTAAAAACAACCCTAACTTATGGCATGTTTGGCCAAACTTTTAAAATCTGCTTATTTTAATAAGTACTTTTTCTAAAAGTAATAGTCTCTTTGGCCAAACTTTTTTTTTGGCCAAAAGTGCCCTTTTTTTTTGGGCCAAAAGTACTTTTGGCCAAAAATTGAGGTGTTTGGCCAAGCTTTTAGAAGGAAAAAAGTGCTTTTGAGGAGAAGTAGAAACAGTTTTTGAGAAGCAGAAAAATGTAGCTTCTCTCCAAAAGCACTTTCCTGAGAAGCACTTTTGAGAAAAATACACTTAGAAGAAGTTTTCAAAAGATTGGCCAAACGCTAATTATTGCTCAAAGTGCTTTTCAAATTAATTAGGCAAACACAAATTGATTCTCACCAAAAGTACTTTTTTGAAAAACACTTTTGAAAAAAGCACTTCTCAAAATAAGCATAGTTTAGAAGCTTGGTCAAACAGGCTATAATCAATTTTGAGAATCAGTTTGTATTTGGTTAAGGTTAATCAATTTGAAAAGCATTTTTTGAGTAGCAATTAGTGTTTGGCCAAGCTTTTAAAAGCTGATTCTACGTGTATTTTCTCAAAATTGTTTCTTTAGAAAAATGCTTTTGAATAGAAGCTACTTTTTTCTGTTTCTCAAAAATTGCTCCTCAAAATCACTTTTTTATTTCTAAAAGCTTGGCCAAACATCTTACTTTTTTAAAAAAAAAGCACTTTTGGCCCGACAAAAAACTTGGCCAACCAGGCTATTAAGCTTGTCAAAAGGGTCATGTATCTCCTTTAGAGGCAATTTAGGGGTGTGCATTCGATTTATCGATTCGATTTTGACCCTTATCGATAATTACTTATCGATTTGTACATATGCTTATCGTTATCGTTTCAATAAGGTTTCGATTTTTTTAATTTCGATTTATCGATTTTTGGGGCTTATCGATTCGGTTATCGATTACACCAATAAAAAAATTTGCGGGATTCCACGGAAAGTATATCGCTATAAACACGCCTAACTAATATGGACAAAAAGAAGCTAAAATAAGACGAACACCGTTTATAACATAAAAATTGTGTCAACAAGCACATGCAACAAAACTAAAGTAAGAGATCAAATGTATGCCACCAACACTCTAACGGTATAAAAAAAATAAAAATACATCATCACGTCTAATTCTATTTTCCATTAATTTGAACTTCATTCCCTTGTGCTTTAAATATGATCATTCCTTAAATGTGATAGATGAAATAATAGGGTTAGAGACTTAGGGTAAAGGAAAGAGTATTATAGAATAAGGGTAAAAAAAAAAAATTAGTATATCTTATAGATTTATCGATAAACCGATAACTAAAAAGAACAAAATCGAAATCGATAAAATTTCGAAATCGAAATTGATATTGATAAATCGATAAATTGATATCGATAAACCAATAATAAATAATCGAGATAAATCGATTCGAATGTACACCCCGAGAGGCATCTCAGAAACAGTAAGAAAGAGAGTAGAGGCATTGGCTATACAGTTTTTTGAAAAGTTCTTCCTCAAATATTCACGTAGATGTTATTTTCTAACTATCTATTCACTGGATTTGACTGATGTTGACCAAATTCAACCAAATCTTAGTCAATTATAAAAAAAATTCATATAAAATACAATTCTGAAAAAACAAAGAAGTACCACTTCTATTACTCAGCCAGTGTTCATCTCCTTTTTGACAGTTAGCCACTGCTAACGACAAAGTGACGGCATGGCTACAAGCTTAAGACAACTCACAAGTCACAACTGGAAATCCAACAAATATATTGGACTTATGGTCATGCCACCTCACTCTATAAATTTTGTCTTTCCTCATTCTCATATTAGTGTCTAAACTTCAAGAATGCCAACTGTTTTGTACCAAAACCCTTGATTCTTGAATGTATGCATGTTTACTAACTGTTAATAATATTTATTAGCCAAAAATATTAAATAAAAATGCTGTTGCCAACTTTAGCTGATACACTTTGAAATCTGACACTTGCCCTTTTTTTACTTAACATACTTTTCTTGTCCTTTACCTGTGCATTCTTTTCTCCAACCACAAGGTACTGTGCTCCAGTATTTTCATTCAAAATCTTGTAGTGTTTGAGGTAATTTCTCATCTGGGTTTAGCTCTATTTATTGTACGTGATTTAGCTTGATGTGAAAGGTCTTAGCTTTTTGTTGTTTTGCATTCAATTATTCAGAGTTGGTATAAGGAACTTTAAGTAATAATCGGATCTAATTCTAGTTGGCTGATTCTGATTGGTTAATTTGCATGTTTATCTTAATAAATTTGGTATGCTAATGGAGACTTTGCTTATACTGCTGGTATATGTGGCTAATAGATATGAATGCTTATATTCTAGTATTTGTTTTCTTCAATAGGATTTGGGGACAAATGTTTAAAACTTATTATTTCAAATTTGAGTTTTTCTGTCTATACTCCATGATTAGTGGCTTTTTAGTACTTCCAAAGTCTAATTATGTGCACTTGACCAGTTCTGGTTTTGAGCTACTAACATCTGACCAAGATAAGCAATTTGGTTTGACCCTTATTTCCTGCTCATATTTTGTTAGTCTAATGCTTTTTGACATTATGTTGGCAAAGGCGGATCTAAGATTTTAGTACGATTGGTTCAACCTTTAGTTTTTTACCATTAATCCCATTATACTTAAGAAATTGTGAGTTCAAAGTGTTTTTAGAATTTTAGAGATTTTATACATATACTCCATGTCGAAAATACTGAGTCGGTTGAACCCATTGTTTACACGCATCCGCCACTGTATGTTAGGAACCTAACCAATGGAAATTGGTCGAATTCATAGTTTTTAGAAGGGTTTTTTGTAAATAGTTGTTAGATTCCTCAAGATACTGAAAGAGCTTTTAATACGGAATGGCAAGAAGAAGTTATTTTGTTAAGCTGCTTAATAGGAGAATTATTAGCTTTCTGTTTGATATTTTTCCTCAATTTCATTCATGTACAAGTTCATTTTTTTTCTTGGTAAACTTTTCTTAACACTTAATTCGTTAGCCGTTGCAGCTGATGGTCATGTTCAAAGAGGGGTGAAGCTGAGGAGGTTAACAGAAAATGGGCTTCCCACCCTTCTTGTTAATCTTTCTGGCAGTATGTCCTGCATTTTTGGCACAAATAGTTGAAGATACAGCACTTTTGATTGATGCAACTGTAAAAATTGCTGAGACTGATGCTAATTATGTATGCGCTACCCTTGACTGGTGGCCTAAAGAAAAGTGTGACTACAACGACTGCCCTTGGGGCTACACGTCTCTGATGAATCTGGTAAAATCCCACTAGTTGTTATTGTCATATTGCTTTGCTAATAGTCAGTTCACATCCCTAATGCAGTTTCAGACGATGGAACGAGCAGTTAACATTTATGATTTTTCTTTTGATTTTTTTCAGGATTTGTCTCACCCCTTTCTGGCAAATTCTATTCAAGGTTTGCATGTTTCCGTCGTGTTATAACTTTACCTTAACATTTGAGATCTTGTGGTTCTTACTCTAATTAGCAAACTTTGATTGGTAAACACGATAACTTCACCTTAACATCAAAAGCATCCATCTACTTGCAATAGTGAGCAAATTAGACTTAATGCTTGTTTGGGCTGCTCATACATTCTCTTCTGTCCTGATTGCTGCTACTTAATTGGTGGTACAGCTTTCAACCCTTTGAGACTACGACTTGGAGGTTCTTTGCAAAACCGAGTAATATATGATGTAGGCAATTTGGAGTCTCGTTGCCATGCATTTACCAAGCAGGAGGATGGGTTGTTTGGATTTTCAAAGGGATGCTTACATATGAATAGATGGGATGAGCTAAATAGCTTTTTCAAGAAGACAGGGTGAGTTATTAACTTTTGTGCTGCTTTCTTGTTCCAATTTTGTTTTTACATTGCATTTAAAGTACCCTAAAATTTTAACTCTACTTTTGTGCCCTACACTAACTTTCTTTCTTTCTTTCTTGAGTAAATTTGCCCCTAAATTGGTTATACCAGTTTTAACCCTGCGTAAGTTTTTCAAAACGGATCAGTGAATCTAAATAGATGGATATTTAGAGTATTCCACTGCTTAATGACCAATAAGTATACTAAGCTTACACAACCAAATTCTTCTACAATTCATGTTTCTTCAAGATATGCATTTGAGAAATCAAGATTGTGAATGCTGATAGGAATCCTGGATTAGCATTTCGTAACCAGACTCTTATACATTTCAACATATATGTTTGAGAGTCCTACAACCTAGAAATCAAGAATTTAAGCTCTGAAAGTTGTTACCTTTTTTAAATGCTTCCCGTTCTTTCTGGCGTAACAGTTCCACCTGAAAATTTGGTATTAATTTGAATTTCTTATGATACTAAGGAGTATGTCGAAACTTACTTAAAATTCTTTGAAATTTGTTAAGACATAGTATGAATACATACATGTGCTCTCTCTGATAGCTTAAACTTTTAAATGAGGCGTTACTCACTTCAACATGGTATCACAGCCAAACAAGGATCCTAGTTTCAAGTCTCACCACCATCTATTGACAGAAAGTATTTCCACGTGCTTGGCAAAGTGGGGGAAAAAAAAGAAGCATTAGGCTTGCATGTGAAGGATGTGTTAAGGCGTAATGAGATAATAAACGTGTACCCTTTAAATAGCTCAACTTTTAGATGAGGTGGCCACTCAATTCAACAAAGTTCATCCCAGTTTCACTGCTTATGCTGCAGAGCACTTGTGACCTTTGGCCTGAATGCATTGCATGGAAGGCAGCGGGCAGGTAAGCGTGTGTGGGGAGGGAATTGGGATTCCAGCAACGCTCGTGATTTCATAAATTACACTATTTCCAAGGGCTACCAGATACACTCATGGGAATTTGGTATAACTGTTGACAATTTCCTTCTCTCTTTTGCTTTTTTTATGGTAAATCACTCTTCTTTAATAGAGGGTGGATTCCCTTAAAACAATTCTTCCCCTTGGTTTGCAGGAAATGAGTTAAGTGGTAAGGGTATTGGTGCAAATGTTGATGCGGAGCAATACGGAAAAGATGTTATCCATCTTAACAATCTCATAGACCAATTGTATAAGAATTTCCAACCCCGACCACTTCTCTTAGCACCAGGAGGATTCTATGATAAAGAGTGGTATGAGAAGCTTCTTGAGGTGTCAGGGCCAGGCACTGTCGATGCCTTGACTCATCATATATATAATCTTGGTCCAGGTAAGCTAGCATAAATATTTTTACGGTAAGCTTGGCGATGTATGAAAGCTTCTATTGATATAGAAAATCTAGCGCAACAATGATTATGTCAAATTTAAGTGTTGACCACTTTTTCCTGCCTCATGATGTGTTTCAGTTTATAAAATATTTTTCACGGCTTCTATGAAAATTTCTTTGTCACTTATATTGTAATACCTTGGACATCATTAGGAGGTTGGGAACCATCTAGTAAGAGAGTCTTGTTGGTAGAACAAAATTAGATAAATTCAAATCTGCAGTGCATCTTGCTGTACGATATTCAGCTTAGGTCTCATTCTATCATTTCACTTACTTTGTTGAGTGGTATCATTTGAGATCGCAAAATGGTGCCTGAAGATTTTTTCGCTTTTACTATTTATTTTATATTGATGTGAATCACGGTTACTAACAAAAAAAGTATATTATCCTTTTTCACAGTTATAGAAGAGAGTGGGTAGGTGAAATTATTCGCGAATCTGTGTTATCATTGGCAGCACATTTCATAAACATAAAGACTGGTATTTACTTCTGTTAAAGTTGAATTATGAGCGACTGCTTAGATAGTTGGGTGATTTTACTTTATTTATCTATCTTTTTCTCATATGTGTTTTTTGTGCAAAGTTACGTTAATTACTTGTGTTATCTAGATTTGTAAGTCGATTTGCTCATGTTACTCCATTGAATAAAACCAGAAAGTTTCTGTTTCAGGATCGGACCACAATCTCGTCAACAAAATTTTAAATCCTCTGCACTTAAATAAAATTGCTAACACATTCAGTAACCTTAGCCAAACCATTGAAATGAATGGTCCTTGGACTTCAGCTTGGGTTGGAGAATCTGGTGGGGCCTTCAACAATGGAGGTCATAACGTGTCTAACACATTTGTGAACAGTTTTTGGTAAATTTCTTGCCCGACTTGATTTATTTTTTATCATTCTGTAATCAGTTAATTGTTTGTGTTATGCCTTATCTTGACGTGGAATTTAGGTACTTGGATCAGCTTGGGATGGCAGCCAAGTACCACACTAAAGTATATTGCAGGCAGACTTTTATTGGAGGAAACTATGGGCTCCTTGACACAAGCACATTTATCCCAAATCCTGATTATTACAGGTGAGGTGATTGGCTTACCAATTCAAGGTTGATTCTCTCTGCTACTAAAAAGAACATCTTCCTTAATTCTTGTTATTAAGTCCCTGACAATCTGATCTGAAATCGTTGTCCTCCTCTTTCAATGAACACAGTGCACTTCTTTGGCATCGGCTAATGGGAAAAGGAGTTTTTGCTGTTAGCAGCAATTCATCATCATATCTGCGCTCTTATGCCCACTGTACAAGAAATAGAGTAACAGCTCCGTGGATTTTTGAATCACTCACTTATGGAATTTAGATGCATCATTTGGCTAGAGATACATTAACCTTTACAGGAAGTAATTTGATGGTTACCTGAAATGAAGTCTTAAAATTTCACACGTAATTGCTGGTCAATAATCCTTGTCTATCATCAATAGTGATAATTACTACTACTGTTGCATCAAGTCAATTCATGCTTCTGGTCAATCTGTTTGTTAGTAGAGACTAAAGCATCACACCTACTTTTAGTTAGGTAGCAAAGATGCAGTGAGACTTCAACTATATGAGCTTTGCATAGTCAGCCCAAACCCGGATTAAGGAGGAGGGTTGTGGTAGGTTGGTTGTCAGCATAAAAATGGTCAAAATATGTTGAAACCTCTAAATATGAAGATTGGATTTACTGGAATGTGGCATCCGTCTTACTGTTAAATAGGCAAGGTATTCCATCACATCATTGCGTTGGTGTGAGAGAGTTTATGCTAAGTTCCAATACCATGAAAGGCCTAGGTCCTGAAAGTTATTTGCACTGGAATGAAATGGTTTGAATAGAGCAAAATAGATATACAGGATTCATGTAGCCCCCAAACTAAATAGTTCGAATAGAGGGAAATGAATATAGAGGAGTCATGTAGCCACTGACTACTTTAGCATTGAGGTATAGTTAATTGATTAATTGATAGCAAAGCAAGCTGTTTTTTCATGATTATTATCTTTTAGACCATTTCAAAATTGTAACTTGTAAAGACCATATGCTTTAACGCTAATGCTTTGAGTGTTATAATCAGAGTTGATGCAGTTCAGTCTCAACTAGTTTTCTTTCCTAAGAGATGCTGGCTCTCCCTTGTGCTTAGTTTTGTAGGCGAACTTACTACTGGTGGATAGTTAGAACTTGAGTGTCTACTCTTGGATAGGTTAGAACCTGAATGTCAATCAGATGTAGGACAGAATGCCCTTCTATTGAACCATTTTGTGGCATATTCATATTGGTGAAGCCAGCTTCTGGTTGCTAATATTACCATTTTATCCTAGCCATACTGCAGTAATTTAGTTTTCTCATTAATGTATACTAGTTTCAAATTAAAATGTGATGATTTGCATGTGCTTAAAGTTGTTGTCATGTGACCAGGAGATCACGGGTTCAAGCCGTGGAAACAGCCTCTTGCAGAAATGCAGGAGCATAGCGGGAGCTTAGTGCACCGGGCTACCCTTTTGATTTGCATGTGCTTAAAACTTAACATTTCAATTTCCTGGTGTTTCCTTTGTGCAGGCAGGTGTGACATTACTTTTGATCAATTTAAGCAACCAAACTCAGTACAGAGTCAGCATCGAATCTAGTGTACACACCTCCTCGCATGCCAACGAGAAATCAAATCACAAGAAGTCGTTTATACACGGTCTTAAGAAAACTTTTTCATGGGTTGGAAGTAAATCATCAGACGTTACATTGTCACGCGAAGAATACCATCTGACTCCACTAAATGGCAACCTTCACAGCAAAACTATGCTCCTGAATGGATTACCATTACAGCTCACAGAAATTGGAGACATCCCAAGTTTGTCTCCGGTCCTTGTAAACATAGTGTCTCCAATATCAGTTGCCCCCTTGTCCATCAAATTCATTGTCTTTCCCAACTATAATTCTCCAGGTTGTAGATAGGATTAGGAAATACTGCTGCCAGAGAGCTCTAATGTAGCACTCTGTGGATTCATACCTTAGTAATTGTACACTAGCTACAATAAAATGAGCAGCCAATTTTTTAAGAAGTATGTATTATATAGCTAGATATATCCCTTTCCCTACTAATAGCTTGTTTGGCCAAGCTTATTTTTTGCCAAAAGTGCTTTTTTTTTTGGACCAAAAGCACTTTTGGCCAAAAATTGAGGTGTTTGGCCAAGCTTCTGGAAGGGGAAAAAGTGCTTTTGAGGAGAAGCAGAAGCAGTGTTGGAGAAGCAGAAAAAAGTAGCTTCTCTCCAAAAGCACTTTTTTGAGAAGCACTTTTGAGAAAAATACACTTAGAAACAGTTCTTTAAAGCTTGGCCAAACACTAATTGCTGCTCAGATGTGCTTTTCAAATTAATTAGCCAAACACAAACTATTTCTCACCAAAAGTACTTTTGAGAAAAACACTTTTGAAAAAAGCACTTCGCAAAATAAGCTGATTTTTGCAGCTTTGGCCAAATAGATTACAATAGTGTTTCCGAGGAAACACATGTAGTGCAAGTTAGTTATCAACTAGCATAGTATTGTAAGCAGACAAACAGTTGTATTTAAACATTTGCCACAAGCAGGTATCATGTTAAGTGGATGGGAAATGATTTTTGTTCCAGCCGATATTGGTTAGAAAGGTATTGAAGAATAAAATGTAATTGTGTTTTCTATCGGTGTTTCATAAACTGTACATTTGTGTTTAACATTATTAGAACATCAAATTATCCAAAAAGATGAATTATCAACAACAACAAACCCAGTAAAATCCACAAGTGGGGTTTGGAGAGGATAATGTGTACGTATATTTTTTTTACCCCTACCGTACGAAGATAGAGAGGTTGTTTCCGATAGACCCTCGGCTCAAGAACAGTGAAAAAGAAGCAACAAACAAACAATAGTAACAACAAGGTAATAGGACAACAGAAGCAAATGGCACAACGTGTAATAACAAAGATCTATGAATACAAAAATACAAGAATAGTATCAATACTACTGATAAGAATTATGCGGATAGCAATTTGTTGAACTGCTTTCCAATATCACACGATAATTTTGGTTTAGTGTCATAGAGTTGTGTAAATGCATAATATAAAGTACAATCAAAATTTACAATAACAAAATATTAACAGAAAGGGGGATTTGTGAAGAACTCAGAAGAGTTGAAAGGATAAGGAACTGAAGCAAGTTGACATCCCAAAGCTCAGTAGCAGGTCCAACAGACGTCTACTGGTTTACTTTCGAAGCAAACGGTGAATCCTCTGGTTGGCTCCTTTAACTCTGAAAGCAATCTCATCAACATCATCTTCAACATGATCCAATGCCTTGTTTTGCCTGTAATATCCAACAGCATATACAGAATTCTTAGAAATTGTGGAGAATTCCAGTGCCAGAGAATTTTTTTTTAAAAAAATTGGATTTAGACAGAAAGTGAGGGTTCATAGTCCACGCTAACTTACTTGGAATTAAGGTGTAGTTATTATTGTTGCATATACATTATACATATAATTCTTAGAAGTGACTAAGTAACACGGTACTTTAACGTGTCATGGTACAATAAAGAGAAAGTGGAGAGGGAGAGAGCAAAGGAAGGGGGGACTGGAATCCTTTTAACAAGATTATATAATCTGGAACACTAACCTCTCAATTTCAGATCCCATGTCCATAGCCATATTCTTGAGGTCCACCAACAGGTTGCTGAGATCTGATAGGCCATCATCTTGCTTTGCTTTCTCAAGCTGTCAAAATTTCAAATGAAGTAACTTAGCTAAATGATATTACTATTCATATTCATCCAAAAGGTAAAGAAAGAAAAAAGGGGAAAACCAAGGAGGAGCGGAGCCATCTTCAATCTGGTCGCCAAGAATAAACAATTTTTTGTTACTAGGGCTTAAAATTTCTGCCAGAACTAATAGAATTGTCTCATGGTCCAACATGCCAAAGTATTACAAAGGCGAACTTTTCAAGAAACCTAAGTTACTGCAAGGATCACAATGTTTTACTACTTTTGTTGTTTAGCTTTTGGGGTTCCTAAATGAAACTTCTCTCAAATTTTAAAAAAATTAAGCCATACTTGGAGCCTTGGTGGGAAAAGTTACCCAGTGTTGGTGCGAGGTAGTAGGTATCCGGTGGAATAATAGAGGTGTGCGCAAGCTTGTCCGGACACCACCGTCATAAAAAATAAATAAAATAAAAGCCACATTGAAAATGGAACAAGGTTGTTTCTCAGTCTTTCACTCAGAGATCAGCTCAATTATTTTCTTATATTTCCTCCCTTCGTGAATACAGATAGAAGTCACTCTTCCAAAAGCAAGTGGATATTTCCTCCCGTTAGATCCACTATTCTTTTTCCTCCGTTCAAATTTCTTTACTCATCATTTAAATGAAGTTCGGGAGAAGTTGAGTTTCTAGAATTATATTTCTAGCTCACCAAACAAGTTTTCAGTGAATATCCGAGTTAGAAATAAGGAACCAAAAATTAAATGAGGAAGTTCCCGAGATCCACATACACACTAAAACTACAACTACCCAATATGCAGGATACCCTATTGATTAGTTTTGGTCACACTTAGGTCTGTGGCTTTCTGCATCTTTCCTCACTTTGCCATCCACTTTTCTAGCACTTTCGCCTTTTCATTTAAAGTTGCAATTTACCAGTTGAAACATTGATGATTAAGAGTATATAACAAATTAGTTAGTATTTCCTCATTTAACTTTGCAGAGAGAAAATTTTATTATCTAAATACCAAAACGAAAATATCATAGAATTGAATTAAAGAAAGACAAGAAAGATACAGACACGTAAACACATCGTTACTTCTACATAATTCATTTAGTCGGTCAGGGTTGTTATTTTGCAATCACAGGTACGGTTGATCCTGCATAATTACACATATCCAACCCCCGCTTTGGACAAATATGCTTTAAATCAAAATTCATGCAATACATACACTTGGATACATGGATCTGACTCTCTTACATCCAAGAGCCACATCTACGAAACGGGATGTGAGAGCACAATAACTTGAAGCAGACTATAATAACTGATTTAAAAATGCCACAAATCTTAGTTTCACTTTACATGGTTTTAATGATTTCAGAACGGAGTTGATAGACACTGAAAGTAAACAAATGACAACGGCGTATTTCTGGTCTGTTTTCTTTTATGCTTTTTATTTCTCTCTTAGCTCTTCCTAAAATCACCATGAGTCACAAATCCTCATTTCCAAGCCCATTTTAGCTAGAAAAATGACTTTCAAGGACAAAGTATCACAAATCAAAGACTATAGCTTGCAAGATGATATCCTTGAAAGTTTAGATGACAACTCTTATAACTCCATGCTGATGAAAACACGGAAAAACGAATAAGGAAAAAGCCTTTTGGCAAAGGAAAGTTCACATATTAATCTTAATCTTAACTTTTCATTCAACGATATAGGGAGCAACTTTGACTTTTCTAATCCATGCAATGTCAATTCCATAACTCACTCAACGACTTTATAAAAGAGTTCTTGTAAATCAGTATTATCTATCTTGTATCAAGTCACATGATACCTCAACTTTCTGCAGTGCATTCGCAGGTTCTTGGGGTGGTGTTCGTGAACTTGACCTTGCCTTAGGTGCAGAGCTCAATCCTAATTTCTCCCTCAGCTCCAAGTGGTTCCCCCTTCTTTGAACTGGATCATCTGCCGCATTAACACAGTGTCAGACTAGCTATCATTGTCAGGTGACACGACCTTTCCGTTACTAAGCATCTTGTGCACATTTAATCCAGATATCAAATCATATTAAATGAATGAGAAGAACAAAATTAAATGAGTCACCTCTTGTGATAACGGGTCCTGTAATTGCGCGATTCTTCTTTGGCTTCCAAGTCTTAGAAAAGATGCCCCCAAGACTTCCCACGAGTTTTTCACCCTGAAATAAAATTTCAAACTTAAGTCACCCAAGATAACAAGCAACAATAGCAAAACAGCTGCAGAAAGCAATTAAATGCAAAATCTACCTAATCAAGAAACATGTAATGAAGGATTTACAGCTCGTGAGACATCTTTAAAGGCACGAGGACGTCTAGGTAAAGGGTAAAGCAGATTCTTTATGATCTAATAAAACCCTTACCAAAATCTATTTCCTTCTAAAAGACGCATATCGGACAAACGAACAAGTTTCATCTTCAAATGAAATAGAAAGTAGAAACTATTACTTGAACCCAACAAGTAGAAAGTAGAAAGTAGAAACACAAGTAGAAACTATTACTTGAACCCAACAAACAAAGAAAAAAATAAAATAAGAGAAGATAGTTGCTTCAGGAAATAATTAAAAAAATTATCAGAAATATAAAACACATAATGGATATGGGCAGTTAATTAAAGCCAATAACATAGATGATAATGATGGCCACAGTTGTCTCTGCTTTTGCAGAAAACCAAAAAAGATATCAGTGGGCTAAACAAGCCATACCCTGCTAAGATCATGGTCAATGTCGGCTGCAGTCATATGGGTTCTTGTAATTTGTTCTCCCTGTTGATGTAAGGTGATCAATGTTTTCGTTGCATCCTCACGCATCTCTTCTGCAATCTTCAGGCAGCCGTTAACAGACTTTGTAGTCTCTTCAGCCTTGTATACAGCATAGTCTTCCAATTCCTCTACAGTTTGGTTTTCAAATCCTCCAGACTCCCGGAAATCATTCTTGTATTTATTTCTTGCTGTCGAAGTTGAGTAAGCACGTGAAGGAGTCTCTTTAATTTCTTCATCATCAAAAGGGTTTGCACTCAAATTTGGGGTCGCTACAGAAGGCTCTGATGATGTTCTCCTTGGTTTGACTGTTTGCTTCTTGTCAGATTCATCATCAGAATCAAAGGGATTTGACCCAGATTTACCATGGAATGCAGGATCTGTAGAGTTTTTTCTAGCATTCCAATGTAAAGGAGACTTCTTAAAACCATGCATTTTTTATGGATATGAAGCAACCGCACGGGGGTGGGACCTGCTACAGATTAAGGAACTATCTGCAGAAAGACACAAGATCAAATTAAGAGCACGTTAACAGAAACAATAGTTAGATTGTCTCTGTGAGACACGTACAAGGAGGAAATTCAGTTAAAGATCCTGCTTATATGAACTGAATAAATGAAAGTTAACGGTATTGAACACAACAATTGGCAAGGAGCTAAAAGATTAAGAGAGATAAAACCCTCAACTAAAAGACTCAAACCAAGCTTTGTTCAGATAGGAAAAACACAAATATTCAGGATTACAGAGAAATAGCACTAATAAGTAATGGAAAAGCCAAAAATCAAGTATGCAATTCTAATGTAATAAAACTAATACGCCTTAACTCAAAGCTAGTTGTGGTTGGATATCTGAATCCTCAATATCTGTTTAGCTCTATTTGGACTGATGAAATACAAATTACACAGACAAGAGAGGATAGCTTGTTGGTAGCTTCCACCTCCAACCTACGGGCTGACCTAAGTTGGAATAGTGTTCTCCAAGGAAAATTCGAGAAAAAGAAAGAAAGAAAAATCCCACAACAAAAGCAGAGACGAATCTAGGATTTTTAGAACATGAGTACACCCCCCGAAGAAGGGAGCGTTCCTTTGGATTAACTCAACATTCAATCAGGTGTACCATTCAACCTTTTTGGAGCATGGGGGCAAATAAATAATATTAGATCAATTTTACGATGTGTGTGTATATATATAGAAAGAGATATATAATACCTAGTTTAGTGGGAAGACCATGAGGTCATGTGCACAGTAAAAATAGCCAAAATCCGCCCCAGACAACAAGGAAGCAATTTCTACAAGAATAATATCGAAAATTAAGGTGCATATCTGGTTCTATTTACATCTCCATAATAACAAAACGTGGAATTTCAAATTTCTTCTGTAGAAGTAAATTACAGCAATCATCCTTTAACTAAGCATAAATTTAAGAATATTCCCCCACTCATATAGTCAAATACCTAACTGCTTTCATGCTGATTTCTCAAACACCCAGAAATCATATAAGAAAACCCAAAAAAAGAAACCAAGAATATAGCTAGAAGCATAGGGGGGTTTTCCCTAAAAAGTAGAAATGATAGTTCCAAATGATAATTTCAGAAATAAATTACACAAAAAAAGGATAGCAAGAAATGAGCAAAAACATATCACTGTAATGAAGTTTAAAGTTAGAATCAACCCATATGAATA